ACATTTTTCAGTCAGGTCATCTGGACAGTTGGATTTAATATAATATAATATAATATAATATAATATAATATAATATAATATAATATAATATAATATAATATAATATAATATAATATAATATAATATAAATCTGTTCCAGGATCAGAAGCATGATTTGTACCGTGCGGCTGTACTCTGGGCACAGGAGTGGTGTGCCCAGAATCTTCCTATCTCTTGTATTGGAAGGGGATCTACTGCGCATGTACAACGTTTAACGAGAGTCTATGGGCAAAGATTCTTGCGCCCCCAGGGCAGAAATATATCATCAATCAGAGACGTTTTTGAAAGAAACAACTTAACTCATCATTAACTCTAAAATATTTATCTTACACAACTAAAAAATATATACATATATTTAAAATATTTTTATTTTATTATTTCATTTTTTATGTCTTCAAGGTAATATGGTGAGGGGTGGGAGTGGTGGGGTGGCACCCTAGCGCCCTCTATTGGCCAGCCACCACTGCTCTGTCTTTGTAACGGCAACAATAAGAGTTTTTGTCATAAATATTGTAACTGTAACTAGCATGTAGTTATTGTAGTATGTAGTGTGGCTGTGGCTGAGTGGTTAGAGCAGTTGTCTTCCAATGGGACAGTTGGAAGTTCGATTCCACCAGCAGTCATATGTTAAAGTGTACCTGGGCAAGACATTGAACCACTCATTGCCTCTGATGTGTGTCCCATCAGTGTATGAATGTGATCTAAACCTCTGATTAGTCTCTACAGGTTCAGATTATCTTTATAGAGATTTAGTAGAATGCTGTATGAAAGTAGTAGAGTGCTGTATGAATGTGTGGGTAGTAGAGTGCTGTATGATGGTAGTAGAATGCTGTATGAATGTGTGTGTAATAGTGCTGCATGAATGTGTGTGTGTAGTAGAGTGCTGTATGAATGTGTGGGTAGTAGAGTGCTGTATGAATGTAGTAGAGTGCTGTATGAATGTGTGGGTAGTATAGTGCTGTATGAATGTAGTAGAGTGCTGTATGAATATAGTAGAGTGCTGTATGAATGTAGTAGTGTTGTATGAATGTAGTAGAGGGTTGTATGAATGTAGTAGAGTGCTGTATGATTGTGTGTGTAGTAGAGTGCTGTATGAATGTAGTAGGGTGCTGTTTGAATGTGTGTGTAGTAGAGTGCTGTATGAATGTAGTAGAGTGTTGTATGATTGTGGGTGTAGTAGAGTGCTGTATGAATGTGTGTAGTTGGGTGCTGTATGAATGTAGTAGAGTGCTGTATGAATGTAGTAGGGTGCTGTGTGAATGTAGTACAGCGCTGTATTAATGTGTTTGTAGTAGAGTGCTGTATGAATGTAGTAGAGTGCTGTATGAATGTATTAGTGATGTATGAATGTAGTAGGGTGCTGTATGAATGTTGTAGAGTGCTGTATGAATGTGTGTGTAGTAGAGTGCTGTATGATTGTAGTAGAGTGCTTTATGAATGTAGTAG